GTTGGGTTTTCTCTTGTTCACCAAGCTCTGCGAGCGAGTTGAAAGCCTCTTCCAACAGCGGTGCAGATTGCTATTTGAACTGTTGGAACTTGATTCTAGACAAAGAGACGGTGATCTGTATAAAATTGAGGGGGTAGAGGAAAATGACTCTATGAGCATGCTACTAACACGGTCTATTTTTCTGACCTCATCGTTAAAATCACCTACTAGTGTTGTAAGATACTACTCACCTGTGAGTAGTTCGCAAAAAGATGCGATCGGCGATTCCTTTAAATAGTAAAAAATGAACAAGAACTGTTAGAGCGAATTGCTGCTGTTCGGTATGGTGAATACAAAAATGCGCATCGAATAGTGGACCGTTCCATCGACTATCCTGCGGGAATTCTGCAGACTCGTTCCAAATGAGATCTTTTGTTTTATGGATGACAATACTGACACCCTGATCGTTATTCGTCATAAACAACTATCCTCGACTAGGTACCGCCTTGTGGAATTATAACACTAGTACAATCGTATCAGAGTGAAATCAGTGAGCTAGTCATGGTGTTTATCCCTTTTGCACATCCTACTTGCGGTGCGTCACGACGCACGACGATACACAGGGCAGACACTAAGACCACACAATTATGAACAAATCGTATAGGCGAAACTAAACAATGAATTCAAAAGGCGCTCTAGGGTTTCTTTGCATTCTGAGAGTAACACGTGCAAACAGTCTTTTCAGCCAAAGCTTTTAGCTTCAACAAGAACTCTGCCACAAATTAGCGGACTGGGCCAAAGGAAGGCCAATCATTTCCTACAATGTTACTAATTTCAGTCAAACTCTCAACCTAGGGGACAGAAGGACCGCAATTCGTCTTGTCTTTCTTCATCATAAGACATTTTAAGCAGGGTTAGGTCATTCGCTTAAGAAACTTAATCTTGCATAGCTCCCCGGCTTATAGTAGAATAAAAATAATAGTAATACATCCAAGTACGGTCCCTTCGTGATGGTAATTCTATGCATGAGGCATTTAAATGACGTTCAGGAAAATTCATGAGATATTTTCTTGTCCCTTGAATCAACACCGAGTTCTTGTTTTCAGAACAAAAAAAGTGAACGGTTCTCACTGCAATCCCTATATATTACTCGTAGAAGCAATTCTCACATGAGGCCTACAGTTCAGCTAAAAGTAGATGAATTATGATCTTTATTTGAAATGGGTGATTGATATTTGTGTACCAGTTCTAATCCTAATACAGTGCATGGCATCGTTACTTAACACTAAACAATAACACCTACAAAACCCAATTTTTAAATCTAGAATAGGGTGTGGAATTATCGTATTTAAATTGGTACTCTGCCACACATGTATCAGGAAATTTCCGGCAACAACCACTGATCGGTTGCCCACTATTTTCTTCGTATTAACTCTTCCGATAGACTGTTCAGAGAATTTTGTATTAAGAGCACGTTACAGAAAGACGTATTACGGAAATCTCGAGAACGCGCACTGTTTTGTAGAAGTGACAGAAGCGATCTAAAGTCGATTTATTGCAATAAGTGTAACACTGAAAACCAAAGACATGCTTCACGTCAAAAGCATTCTTTTTTCACAGCATTTACAAATTCTCAATGGAAGCCTGGAATTGTACGGTAAGTCCTGATAAAAAAATATTGTCAATCAGACTTGGAATCAGACGCTCGATTTGTTTTAGTAATAGAAAAATATGCAGTGTTTCAAAGAGTGGTTGACTCGAAATTCTATGATCTATTCAAACCGTGTATACTGATGACGGTATGATTTCAAATACTACGTGAAATTAACAGCTTTAGGCAAAAGGCTATCCCGACTTGGACACCAGAAGATTGCTAACAGCATTTGCTAAAAAGTATACCCAAACCCCAATACTGGGGTTGTTTGATCCTGATCCGCATGGTAAGTGTGCCATTGTTAAACGTTCAAATGAAAGGCATTGCCATATACTGCACATACAAATACGGAACCCAAGTAAGTGCGTCCTCAGACAGAATCGATTGAATATAAAAAAGGGAGAAATTGGGGATTTTATTCCTGTTTTCTTACAGAAAAATACAGGGTTTACTCAACCTGATTTATTTCAGTACATCAAGCTTACAAATTTGGTTTCCAGGGCACTGTTTTCAATTAGTTGCGTACACCTGTGAGTACAGTTCTGTGATATTAATTTTGAAAGAGAATAGGATATTTCCAATCTACAACATGTAAAACGACTAATGTTAGAAAGCTTAACAGTAGAGATGAATCTTGACAACTGATAATACATCTTACACATCTCAAGTGACTGTAAAATGAATCTAGAAAAAAACTATTCAGATCTCAGTAACATCACCATCATCATGGTACAACGAAATACAGGGAAGCGAAATTCACTGTCCACTGCCAGACTCACACAACGCAAATAGGGTTAGTGGTAATATTTAAGATGGACAGGGCGTGGACCTATACTGAGGGAGGGGGAAGGTGAACCTCTATGATCAACACGGAGTTCTCAATTGAACTCCACATACATACCGTTTCAAGCATTCTGGCCTGATAGGAAGTGACAAGAAAGCCACCGCTGTCGGTTCGCTGCCATCTCCTTCAGTAACAGAGTCTTTCGGACCCCAACCTGGAAAGCACGAAACACCTACTGTAACTAATGCCTGTGCATTTCTTCAGGCCTTGTCTCCACGTCATCTGCTGACCTTCGAGGAGTTTCCGTGATACCGGAGCGGCTACAGTGAATAAAAAGCGGTGGGGCAGAAGAGAGCTGGGCATACGTAATACGTGCCGTGGTCAGCCAAGCCTATTAATCGATGAGCTGGCAAGTTTATCCCTGACAAACTCCCAATCACACGACGGCATACCTTCAGATTACTAACCCGTTCACTCCATTCCACGTGGGATAAAGTACGGGAACACCGATACTCGAAAACTTTTAGTCGATGGTTATCTTCTACTCGCAAATACAAGGTCTCACAACCATATTGTAGAAGTGAAACAGCGGTAGCACAATATACACGACCTTTCAACTTCAAGGAAACGTCGTGTCTACGCTAAAATTGTTCGCCCTGCATATGTTGTCCGATTCTTGGAAATGAAGGTGGTTATTTCCTTTGCAGTGGTGCCGTCATTATTCACACAACCACTGAAGTAGGAAAACCAATCCATTATAATTAATTCCTGACAGTTTAGTTTCTTTGTGAGATTAGACGACACCCAGTCCTGCAGTATCATTTTGCACATAGAAGGTGCAAAGCTTATACCGTATGTGGCAACAGCAATTGTTAGTCTGTCAAGTGCACTTTGGGCGTCCTCCATACATTCGAACAGACAGACGACGTCATCGGTGTTCCCTAAATAGCACGGCTTTTCTCCAGCTGCCTATGCAATATCTACATTTTGGAGACGGCTTATTGCGCTCGCCAGTATTTCGCCTACAACGAAATTTATTAGGAATGGTGAAAGAGGGCACTTTTCACGAACGCCTCTGCTGGTGACGAATGACCCATTTAATTCGTTATAGACCCTCACTCAACCAGAGGTATGTAAGTACAATGACCTCAGTAAGTTAACGTACTTCTGGGGCATCCCTTTTCGAAGATGGGAGCCCATCAGAGCTTCACGGTCAGCTGAATCGAAGGCCCCTTTCAGGTCAAGGAATACTGCGATCGTTGATCGACGGTGAGTGTGACGCAGCTCAATGACCCGATGCAACGCAAAAATTAGCTCAACATCCACGGCCAGGCCGAAATCCGGATTGCTGTACACGGATGTTGGTCTCTCTTAAAGGAGTCAGACGTCGAAGTATGATCGAGGCTAGCACTTTGGTGACGATCTGGATCAAACTGATCCCGCGATGGTTTTCGCAATCGTTGCGGGGTTCTTTCTTGAAAATAGAAACGATCAGCGATTCACCCCAAGATGAGGGAATGCGCTCTTGGGTCCATATGTCAGTATTAGTGCTTACGAGGATATCACCCCTCCATCTTGAAATTATTGAGGAGCTCATCCGATCCTCCTGCCTTTCCTCGCTTCATAGCTTAAATACCAGACTGAAATTCTCTTCCGAAAGAGGATCGCACATCACTGCCCACGGAGATTTAGTTGTAGATGAGGTAATCTGGCTAGCGCCAGGCCAGCTGAACTGTTCGCTGAAGTATTCCGCCCAGCGATCAAGCCGTTGACCCTTGCTGTGAATAGCTTGTCCCCTTTGATTGCAGACTGTTTTACTACCTGAAGTTCGTCGACAGTAACAGCAGAGGTTAGATGATATTAAGTGCTACTAAAGAGACGCAGTTGCTTCATGGAGAATAATGGGTGTTACACACCGCGGTACAACACATTTGAATGAAAACACGAGATACCGGAAGAATGGCGTCTTTGGATTCAACCCTTTCCTTCACCTTGTCACTTTTATTTATTCCAGTGACATGTTTTTACTTCATCTGGTTACTTTCCAGTAATATCCTCATCAGATACCCAACTGGACAGCGAAGGAAACGATTGCATTTGAGCAACAGGTTGGCAACTGCGGTCTTCGCTTTTGAGATTTGAGGCCAAGGGGGTTAGTGAAATCCCAGCAGTCACTCGTGAACATAACGCTTGATAGTTAGTGTACCCATACTAGAACAGAGAACGCATGAGGGGTTTCAGCTTAAATTGGACCAGATCAAACATGGATATTTGGCATTACTTAATTGGTTCAATTAAGAAGCAATCAAAGGCCCATAGGCAAAGTTGTGGTGTTTGTATACTGTGGTGAACAAAGTGCTTTTGTAGTAGCAAACAACCTTTCATTGTATGCCTTCATAAAATTGACAATGGAAGAATGTGCGAATTTTAAGAACCGTTACCAAAACAACTTCAAAGTTGATTAAGTAACATAAATAAAAAGTTCAAGACTGATTATAGCATGGTCACGACAAAAACAATCAAATATATTCTTAGAATGCCGCGATGAGAGATGAACGTTTAAAACCTATATCAGTGAACAAAATGGAACTATTAGGAGTTCTTCCCACAGAACTAGAGAGGTAAGGAAAACTATTTCGAAACATTTAATTAAATTTCAGTTTACAGATCAAGAAGTCAGAGCTAATGCGACTCACTGAAGCTGATCGTGCATTGCTGGCCGGCTTAAATCGTCGACCAAACATCTCCATGGACAAAACATTGGTCGCCCAGGTGAGTCTGATTTGAAATATTTCTTCTCAACAATAGATCCAACATTTATGCACTATCGGGCTGAAGGGTGAGATCGAAGTGTTGGACAATCTTGGTGCACAGGCTCTCTCGGAATACTTGACAAGAAAATTGAGTGCATTTGATATTCAATAGCAAAACAAAAACGTGTTCAAATTATGGGTTTTCCTTTTGGAATCAGATAAAAGTAACAGCAAAGATTGAAAGACAGACAGGAAATTCGGACTATATCACCGGTAAAGACATTTCATTCCTAAGGGCCATTAGTTGCGTTAAAAAGCACCCCTTTCCAAACTAAGTATCAAGGGTTTCAAATGTTTAAAGCGGTAGTCTGCATTTTATCCAGTCGTGAGTTGAAATGGTTGAGATGAAAACATTTGTCGGACAATGATGCTCATCACTGTAAACTAGACGTTTAAGTTAGATTGTGGAGGCGACAACAGAGATGGAAGCCTACTATTGCGAGTCACATTTCAGTAATTATACGCGAAATGCATATAACGGTAACCATGTGACCATCGGAGGAAAACTATCCAACAAGCAACCCGATGAATGTAGACAAGTCAAAGGCTGTAATAGTCAAAAGTGTTCAACGAATAATTCAGGGAAGAAGTTACTGAACAAATGATGTATGGAACAGGGACGAATGAAAGTTGTGACTGTAGTGTTCTGTAATTCATAGCCTGTTGAAAATGCTATCCTTGATCAATTGACCCATGAGAGCGTGGAGCTGTTCCGTCGCTAACTTCGTGGCATCTTTGCTGCACTTAGCCAGCCGGTCTTCAAGTCGATCGTTGTCCCAATTCATTCTTAAAACCTACAAAAAGCCAAAAAAGTATGAGATTACGAGTATCACGAAGGGAAAGCAAACAAACAACTAACAAAATATGGTGGGAAAAAACTAGCCACGAACACTTTCAGCGTTTTGTCGGTGGCTGTAACAGAGCGAAATTAAGTTTGTCAAGATGTCGGGCCAAATGGAAAACAGCAAGATGAAACGCGCAAGTGGTTTGCGCTGTTTTTCCCAATTTTGCCCCCCCCCCCTGAGGGTTGGATATTAATCGATTGAGGATACCTAACGAGATTGGATTAGGATGCAATGTAGCTGCCTAGCTATGCTCCCATCGTTAGAACAATATGCAAGCGAATGTTTATAAGAATGTT